GGGGGGATTAAAATCATTTCCATTTTTGACCCATAGAATTTTACTCTTGTCTTTTTAGAATTTTACTCTTCTTTTATCTAACAATGTAAAACATGTTTCAAAAGATGCTTTTCACACCCGGTAATGTTTTTATTTTCCAATGTTCATACCTTAGTTTGATTTCTGTTGACTCAAAACTATTTGTGGTTTGTGGTCAATCCTTTGTGTTCACCACTTCAGTTTAGGCAGGCAATATCAGTGTAAAACTTTTCTTGTCGTGTAATTGTAAATCTAGTGGTAGGATTTCTTGCTGCTTTCCTATTTATTAAATGGTGTAAAAATATTTTTACATGTGAAGCAATAACTGTGGTTCTCTTGGTAGTGGGTTACCGTGGGAGAAAAATGTGTACATAATTTTATTGAAATGTCCTGTACATAGTTGAAAGGAAAATATATCCCCCAAAACATTTAAGTATCTCACTTTATTTTTTTGTTATCATGACACATGATAGTAATTTGGTAAGGAGAGAACAGAACAGGTACAACGGCATCTACAAACCCTCTCAAAAAGGAAATTCTACTCTTGTTACTCGTGCAATCCACTGGTTTCCTACCTGAATTTTTCTTATCATTGGGGCAAATAAGGTCACAGCTTTGAAGTCAAGGTTTACTGGCAGGTCTGGCATGCAACGCGCAAAACGCAACGACATGACTGACTCTCAGAGAAACTCATTAATTACTAGTTACTCAAGTTGAAATACTTAAGCGTTATGAGCTTGTGTTTCGTTAAAGCGCCAGAAGGTTAAGCATTTAACATCTTGTGGTAGGTCATTGACATCGTCACGAAGCGCGTCAAATTCAAAGCTTTGGCGCGTAGGAAGCACGCGTTGGTGTGTAGCTCTTCGCGCAGCAACTCGGATGAATCAAAGTCCAGCTAACTCAAAGGATTGCAATTTCAAGTCAAATTAATTTTAGAGATTTGATAAAAATATACTCGTGTGCTAAAAGGTGATAAAAGTCGTTGTTTCGAAATTGTTTGTTTACTTGTGAAGGAAGACAGCAACTACTATAGTCACATGTACGTTCAAAGCATCAAACATGTGCATTAGGAAACATGACATTTTTTCTATTTATAAACTTGTCGGTTAGAGTTAATCTAATTACTATGAAAAAAGATATTTAGTATTATCTGATCTTCTTTTTCATTCCTCGTGATGATCTCGTGTTTTTTCTGACATTCACCAAGTCTATTAAGTCGCTGGCTTGACCCCTGTGCTCCCGACTCGCGTCGTTTCCCTTGTTTCCCAGCTCATTCGTCGCCCAACCTCCAACAGTTGGTTATCCTGCTCATCTCTTCTTCACACAGTCAAAATGGCAGACATCTCGCAAAAGGAGCTCCGTGAGGAAATCACCGGTAAATACCGAATTCTTTCTCATTTCACCTTTCGGGCGTGTGCATTCGCTATATATCCTATTAATTTTATGCCGTGCATGTTTTTCTCGCATTATTTTGGGCACCTTCGTAAGGAAAATATGCGTTTTCTCTTGTGTAGAATCCGTCTTTTACTGCGTCCTGTTCCCCGCTTTCTCTGTAGCCATGACGCCACTGGCTTGGCGTCCTCTGTTGTTTTGACTAATGCTCTGATATTACGATAGTACGTGGAATTTAAATTATCTGTGTAGCTTTATTAAAGGTGCAGTTTTTATTCAGTCCCGCTTCGTTTTACGTTTGCTTCCCTGTGTTACTGTAAATCGGTCGGTAAAGTGACGCTTGTTAAGCAACGCTCATGGGTACTACAAGATGGCGCTATATGGAGCTCTGATGCCCATCGAGCGTTCAACCCAAGCCTGTTTTCAAAATCGCAAATGTGGTGTGTTTCGCCCTGTTTTCTTCCACAAAATTTAACAATTGAGGACTCCAAATCTTACACTTTACTTTTCACCCTGGTATTATCTTCTGTAAGTGCGTATCTGACGAAATATCGGACATTTTGCGGGACCTCGTTTTGTGGTCTTGTCCCCCTCCCTCTTCATGTATAGGCCTAACAAAATCGACTTTATCTTTATCTACCTTGCTAATGCAACACTCTTTCTTGAAAACTTTCTTTACCTTATTATCTGTATCACATAATATTGTTCACTTCATATTATTAGAGTTTGCTTAATTCCACAGTAGCTTAATCTTGAAGGGTCAGAAAAATCTTGTACAGGGTGATGGTGATGCTCTTTGTCTGTGTCATAACAGTTGGTTATTTTGATTTATTGTTATACACCAGAACTTTGGTTTTTCTATTTCTTAAAGACTGTTACCCTAGATTTCTTCTTTTCAAATAACCGTTTTTATTTCCTTAAAGCTTTTTTTCCATTTTTTCCCCAATTTTTGGAACATAATTTGACAAAAATCCCCTTATTACTGATATTGATTGGAGATTTATTCCCAGCTCACTCTGCTTTATTATCTCACATACCATATCCTCTGATTCTTTAACTTTTATTTTCATTACAGCCATCCTTAAGGATGCTGACCTGAACACCACATCGGCCAAGAAGGTCCGCCTTCAGATTGAAAAGAAGCTGGATATTGATCTCTCAGAACGGTAAGCAGAGAACTACCTGCTCTAACTATTATTTTTGGACTACCAGGTACTTATCAGAATTTCTTCTGTTCCAGTAAAAAGGAGGTTGATGATCTTGTGATGGAGTGCCTCCAGTTAAAACAGGACGAGAACAAAGATGATGATGACGAGGAGGAAGAAGAAGAGGAAGAGGAGGAGGAGGAAGAATCTGAAGAAGAAAAGAAGCCCAAGAAGCGAGGAGCTCCTGCCAAGAAGCCCGCCAAGAGAAAGAAGGGAAGTGACAGCGAGAGTGAAGATGATGATGAGGCAAGTGATGAGGAGTACAGCCCTAAGAAGAAGGCATCACCCAAAAAGGGAGGTGCAAAGGGCGCTGCTGCTGCCAAGAAGTCCAAGGGATCAGATGACAGTGATGACGACTGGAAGCAGCCTAAGAAGAAGGCTGCTGCCAAGAAGGCTCCTGCTGCAGGTGTAAGTATTCATATTCCTAGTCCTATTTGTACTGTATTATTAGTCTTTAACTTATGGTTTTGTTTTTTATAGGCCAAGAAGGGAGGTGGTGGTGGCTTCACCAAGGTGTACAACCTGTCTCCTGAGCTGGCTGCTGTTGTTGGCTCTGAAACCATGGCACGACCTGAGGTAGTGAAGAAAGTGTGGGCCATCATCAAGGAACGCAACCTTTATGTAAGTGCTTTCACTGTTAGTGATAACTTACCTTCTAAACAATGCCATGAGTTTAATTTCAAATCCTTTGTCTTGCAGGACCCCAAGAACAAGCAGTATGCCATCTGTGATGACCAGATGATGAAAGTATTCAAAGTGAAACGTTTCCGCACATTTGGTATGATGAAGTACCTGAAAGACCACTTCGTGGACTAGTTTATCTATTCACTCAACCATTTTTGACATGCTTATGGTTTCATGAACTTTTATTATTTGAGAAAGGATTTCCAGTGCAATTGATCATAATTGACGCTCTTATGACAGGGAGAGTAGCATTTAAATTACTCCCACCTTTTATTTTATTGATACAACAAATTGACAAATTGGCATGTCGTTAATTAAATTCTATTGTAGCATCTATTGGCTGCACTTTCAATTTCTTTTTATA